TGGTATTTCAACAATAAGTTTTAGCTAATAGTAATGTTTCCCGACTTCCTCAAAGGAACTTACGATTATGTAAAATAATTCCACGATGAACTCATTTCTCCATGTACACCTTTAAACAAACGTATTGAAGAGGCTATTTTGCATTTCATCATTTCTATCAATCTCATATGATGGAACTGTAGTGCATATGGTACTGAATGCAGACTCCAACCATCGAGTAATGGGCATACAGGTAGTGAGTGATATATTAGTCCTCAGAGAATGGGTGGATCTTGTGGTTCCGTACAGGAGCCGACATAAGTCACATTCATATTATTATTGATAATAATATTAGAGACATCAGGTATAGATAGGGTTTTAATGATAAAATGTCGGTTGGTATCTACCTGTCAGTTTTTGAGTATGCTCAGAAGTTGTACACTTGTGTGGTGAGATAAACCAGGAGGTGAAAATCAGTGGCTGAATGAAGCGGTTCCACTGTCAGTTATACTGACCACTAAATTTGTTTCAATGACGACTGCAGATTTCGTTTTCAAAATAGTCTGAAATGCGTATTCAATGACCACATGGAGTAAACTGTAGGCCTATTATTTTCAATAGAAGGAACGAGTATCCAATGAAAATTACCGTTTCAGTTTGATTCACTTGTGGTATATTTATTTATCACACATTATTATCTATGCATATCGCGTGTTCACTAAGATGAAGAATAAACAAATTTCGAATCTTTTGCGTGATATACATGTTGTACACGAATCATTCATTCATTACACAGGAGGGTTGAAGTTCCGTTTTATTACTCATGCATTAGTGTGTGATCACTTGTATATACTTGAGAAAAGTCTGACTGAATACCATTAATTCTGCCTTTTCTTTGCTTTTCCCTTCGAGGTGAAATATTCTCTTCTTTGGCATAGATATAACACCAAGAATTTTGCCTGACTCCTATAAGAATTCGTGGTGTCTTATTGTCGCTTGATGATACTCACACTAGCTGGCTAGTCAGGATTTCTCATCCCAATCGAAATCTAACTGAATTAGAGAGGTTGAGCGTCATGTTGATTATCATTTTTTTTTTAACTATCTGATTGGTTCCAGTCTTCCGCCAACCCTGTGCAGGGATGTGGTCTATGTTTCCATCTGTGAGTTGAGCTTGATAAACATCACGTCAGACAATATCTTTTTTATGTCTGAAGTTTGTGCTAGCCAGAAATGAACGGTAAGTGAAATAGTGGAGAATACTTGTAGCTCAGTTGGACGTTCAGAGAACACAATATAACGAAAAAGGTTACTGAGTACAGCTGTAGTAGGCAGTCACCGTTATCTGTTCGTTCAACCGAGATTGTGAAAGTGCCTTTCTGTTTAACTCAGACTACCGACTTGCTTATGTGCAACAACAGACACGTCTGAACGTTCGGCTTTCAGAAGAAGGCTAGACAATTTTCGGCAGGACCGATCCTCCATTTCATCCGAACCGCAGCCAGGGTGTGCGTAAGCAGAGATTGCAAAAAGACAACGGTGCGTTTCACTATTGCTCTTAGTTCTCATTGCGCCGTTCAGCGCAGAGGCGACTGTCAACTGGAATCGAGTCTAGTAGTAAGCTCTCTGCCCTAGTCCTTAATGCTATGCCTACACATGCAAGAACTAACCATCGATTCTCCAGGAACTCGAAGAGTGGATTTTGCAGATATATTATGTTGGTTGGGAGAGGATAAGTGAACAACTGCACTTGGGTCCCGTATGCATATCTCACAAATACAGCATAAATTCATGGCCCGAGTTGCTAGTTTTGGCCAATTTGATGGAGAGTGCTTACATTGAAGGCACCAATGTGTAATTTGGAGCTCGGTTTAAGGAAACCAAGGATACTGTTCTGTGGATTCAGATCGTTGATGAAAGCTGAAGACGTGATAGGAATTCAAGATGATTTAGGACTATTAACTGAAAGACGTGAGGGAATATTAGAAGATAAGAATGAGGGAGGTAGACAGTGGTCTGAGGGAACTTGAGCGCTGGCAGAATTTTCCCGGCTTCCCACGCCGTGGAAGACTAGGTCTTCTCGAGGTATCTGAGAAAGGAGTGTTAGCGTGTGACCACTGAGTCCATGGGATATCTGCTTGAGGCCGGTCACGTACAGCCTTCTGAATGTTATGACAACTGGACTGTATTATGGAAGGTGTGGTCAAACATAAGTCCTGTGGTTTGGGATCACCACCAACCACTGATGACCCATCTAACCTACCATAATACATCATCTCTTTACTTAAGAACACGTTAAGGGTAAGTGCTTTTTGTCTAACCATTATCCAGCAGACCTCCGTAGTATGGTAGGGAATAACAGTTCCACCAGCATAGCTCGTTGAGTCATAGTTATATGATAACCCGACCACCACGTCATAGTACCAGCTATCAGTAGGGCGGTTATTCCAGCCATTGCTGAGGTTCATTGGACTGGTTGTATGACCTATTTTCGGGACTGGGTGAGATGAAAATGAGGGCCGAGGCAGGATTCGAACCAGCGACCCATGGGCTTCCGGACCGGTGCTTCAACAAGTGAGCTACGAGACCCAACAGGGGACTAGGTTTTCATTTGACTTTAATCACTAAATATACATTTTATAACTAAAAACCTTATTCTCTATGCGACATTCCCTCCGAAATGACGCATTGTAGACCAAATTAATCTATAATCCAATTCCTAAACCAGCACTAAACAATCAGTATAACTAGACATTTAAATGTGCAAAAACTCTACCTTTATCGAATAATAAACTTTCATCTGCGTCTACATCTTCAAGTTGTTGGAGTAAATATTCTCATTGCATAATTGATAGTAAACTACACACGAATGTGTGAGAACAAAACGTTTAAAATTTGAAATAAAATATCGTCATTTACTGACAAATTAATTTAGTGAATCAACAGTCCACTTATCTTATTGTAACGTAAGCGTTTAATGTAAATTCTGGTTAACGCGAAATCGTTAAGTGTTTGCAAATATGCACAACCCTGCTCAACTTAACTATCATATAATGCATACAATATATTGGCAATGATACTGCCAATCATAATAATAACAATCCGGCTGCGGTCCAAATTTTCATTCCACCTTGAATCATCACGCAGTATCAATACTAGTCTACAAAACGACGGCTACCTCAGATAGTCACTAAGGTATTTACCCGACTGCTGTGTGGACTCATGAGGCGCTACTACCGTCTCATCGTGCTCACACTGGCTGCCTAGTCAGGACTTCTCATTTCCCCTTTAGTCATCACCCAGTATCAATTCTAGTCTACCAAACCACTACTATCTCACATAGTCAAAATGATGCTCACCCTCTCTAATTCAGATTTCGACTGGAATGAGAATTCCTGACTGGGCAGCCAATATGAGTACGATCAAGCGATAGTAACGCACCGCGAATTAACATGGTAGTCGGGCTTATCCTTGGTGATTGAAGTGGAATAAAAATTTGATCAGCTGTTGGACCTCGTAGCTCAGCAGGGGCCCGAAAACTCGGTGGTCGCTGGTTCGAATCCAGCCGCGGTTCAAATTCTCATTTTACCTTCAATTATCACCCAATATGGATACTAGTCTGCAAAACCACGGCTATCTCAGATACTCAAAATGATAATAATAACAGCTAAAGTCCCAAATACCATGATCATACTAACCAAGATATCCTGGTAATTTTAGTGTCAAACAGTTTCATCTATGAGATATCCTTCGAGTGCTGGAAGCTACTAGATCAAGTTCTCATGGGATACAGAGAATCGGGATCATTGAGAAAAAAATAAGTACAATATGGGGTGCTGTTTTCTTGCTCATTGTTTAACCTACTAATCAAAATCAGATCGAGTCTCACGCCAAACGTGGTGATAACTAGATAGAAATTCCTAAATGTCGCAAACAATCATAAGCGAACTAGTGAAGATTAATTCACATCTTGATAAGTGCATCAACTTTGTAGCTATAAAAATGTAATTGCTACTCATTATTTGCATTTTCAAGTAACTTTTACTTCCCTACTTGAATCTTGTAATTAATGTAAAATACAAGCACTGACCGACCTATGATGCCATATATACTGTTCAAGTGTTATTGTACACTTGTGAAGTTAGTCTGCAGTCATCATCATGGGTAACTGAGTAGTAAAGAGGAAGTGAAGTGCAACACCTGTAAGCATCAATGCACTACATAATAAGCAATCTTTTACGACTCTTTGAAACACTGATGGTCATTTCATTTCTTGAGCCGGTTGTTTTTGCTGCTTGCTTGTCTGTGAACTAAATCGCCCCCCTTATGTTTAGAGAACTCGCTTATCTGAGTAACCCCAACAAGAAACTACAGTCGAGCAGGTAAGTCACATGGCTCAGCCAATATACCTCCGATTTGGGTATCCTGCAGTACTCAATTGTTCTTCGGTTCAGATGACACTCTGGTGCGATAATTGTGGTTGACAACTTGATGTAACACGCTGCAGATAGATAGATAAAATCAAGGTACATCCTCGCACACAGATGCATTGGTTCAAGTTACTACACTTAACAGTAGTGCACAAATAACAGGTGGACAGTAAAAGTGATACTAAAGTAGAAAAAGTTGTGTCAGAAAACTGTAGTGCAGCTTTCTGGCACCAAAATGCAACTAGGGCTAAAATATATAGATTGAAGTGGATTAACGAAATAAACTTCAATTTTGCCTCTGGATCCTTACGGTGTTTTAAGTTTTGTTTTGACGAGTATGCATTCAAGCAGGCTTCGACATCATTTTGCGCTCCCTTTGTGCTGGTTAACACGCATATCCTCGAAGTTCTTAGCTCAGCCATACCACTAGCTACATGAGTTGGATAAACTTCACCCCTAATAATTACTGTCAAATTTATCCTAATTAGTATATTGCTCCTTGAATATATTCCTGAATACGAGTCCTTTTGATTTGTGTTCCGCTATCAGTATTTATACGTTAGGCAAGGTACTCACCAAGCAAGTACTAGAGCACATCGAGTTAAGTAAGGTTGGTCAAGCATTATGTAATAGTAAAATACCTAGCACCTCTACAGAATAAACAATTTGAAGATAAAGGTTAACGCGAATACTGAAGCTTTAGAAGACGTCAGTCAAGGAGTGAATACATCTACGCCATTGTGACTGATTTTCAGTCATGTCAGATGATCAACCATAAAATATAACCAACTGATAAAGAACATAAATTATTCATCCATTTCATAAACTTTTCAAATATTTACTCACAATTTTACAATACAAAAACCAATAAGTTAAGATAACTGATATGAAGTGAAACTGATTTCTTGACATAATTATACAAATCTGAAAACAATTTGTATCAATACAAAAAATTATCTCGTTATCTCAATGTATTTACGCTCATTTTTAGCATCAGATAAAAGAGGAAGAGAAAAGAAACGAAGAGAAGAGAGAAAAAACAGAAACTTTGTGCATACCAGCTACAAGCATAACCAATTAACAGTGCACAGTTTACAAAGCAACAAGAAACATATGTCAAAACGAAGGGAAAGAAACGTAATCCAACGATTGGTAAACCACAAAATAATAATAATAATGGCTGGCGGTGAACATTCCACTTCACCTTGAAAAATAATAACATGTGTAGGTGCATATTCTTTGAAAAGAAAAGCAAACAAGTGGCGGCTTGGATACAATAAAACGGTAAACACAGAGGAGAGTGTATAAATGAAGTACTAGTTTCATCTATTTTCCAGTCCTTCTTATTGAGTAGAAGAAAGACAAAAATACATAATCCATCAGTGAAAAACTGTCTACTGTCACTCATGGCTAATGGTGCTTGTCGCTTGATAGACGCGATAAGAGCAGCAATTCAAACAGACACACACGCACACACACACAGCTGGTCGCGCGTATACACACTGTTGCTGTAAAACAAAACAACCATATCTGCGTGTGCATAACAATGAGGTAAATTATTAATAACAATACAATAACAATGGAAGAAACCACTACTCAATTAACAGCATGAAATTGAAAGTAGAATAATATTCATAAGCACTAATCAGATTGTCGGTGTACACAAAATGTCCTCACGATGAAAAAGATCGCTTGATAAGGGAAAAAGACTATTCAGTGTATAAAAGGAAATGAGCTTTGCCTTTTTGTGAACAGAATAAAATGTTCTGTGCATTTACAGATCCGCACGCACGCACGCACGCACGCATACATACACACACACACATACACAGGGATATCAGAAGATAACAAAATCGGGGAAATCTATGTATCAAGTTGTACAGAGCACAGTTTTTCTCCTCCAGAAAGTAAGACTGAAAACAGTCTGATAGATGGTGATACTGTTTAAACGAAGAACACATTGTGCATTTAATTACTAGTCATATTGGTACAATAATAATTATAAGTCTACACAGTTCTGTAGACAGCCCTGACTGCAATTTTTCGACAGTTTTTTAGTAGTATTTGGTGGCTGAGTGAAATGACAATAACAATTTTTCTGAAAAATACTACTACTACTACTGCTAATAATAATAATAATAATAATAATAATAATAATAATAATAATAAACACAGATATACGCAGAAGAGTGAAATACAAAGGAAGAGAAAATAATTCGGCATATTTACAAGTAATTATCGATTATTGCAAGCACCTTTGGTTAGTCGATATTGAGCAATCTCCAAAATACCATTTAAATGGACTAAGGCAGCCAGAACAACAAATACATGGAAGATTTGATGACTTTGGAACTGAGAACAAAAACAAAAGACAAAAGAAGTGAGGTTTTACACTTAAAATACCAAGAGATGATCGTGCTCACAATTTTAAAGGTTGTATTTTTGTTAAAAGAAAATCTAAACTCGTCTCATTTGTTAATCTACTTCAATAGCAACATTTATTCAGGTTTAAGCTAATGGTTGGGTGACAGGTTAGTGTAAGCGTTTGGTCCAGTTGTCCTACAATGCGTCAAGGCATGTAACTTAATGACCATATTACATACTTGCTGTGATCGATATTTGCTGCTACAAGACTACACGATCTCACAAGTTGATAGTTTGAACTCATTTATGCAGAATACTTTTAGTAGAAGTGGAACACAGACTAAAAAATAACTGTTTCAGTCTTTAGTTTTGCTTTCTCACGTAATTGGAGATCGCTGGTTCGAAATCGGCCACCGTTCAAATTTTTATTTCAGCTTCAATCATCATCCAGTATAGTCTGCCAAACCACGACTATCTTAGATGGTTAAAGTGATAATAGAAAAACCCCTAAAAAATAGGGTAGCTTTCAACACGGACTGACATCAGTTGACGAACTATTGACAATCTGGGAGCATTAAACACCAGTACGCACCTACAACCTGGCTAGAGATGGAACTGAGGATCTTCAGGTTCCACGTTGAACGCGCTAACCATCCAGTTATTGGGTTGGAGTCCAGTGGTCCACAGTTTCTTACTACAGTCAATTTGCGATATAGCGCGACTAGCTGCCAAGGTCTTCACAGTTGGCATACACTTTCCTACCGACCGGTTGACCCCACAAGGTAACGAATCCTCATTAGAACATCGAAATACCCATCTGGAAGCACTATACAGTAATATATTTTGAGGTTAATGCGGATTTATTTTAAAGGTACCACTCATCACGGACTGATGTATATATAGTGACAAAACAACAAATCCATTCGTCGAACATGATGCCTATTCACACCATGAAAGCATTCCACTAGATACCTTGTTCTTCTAAAAGTAACTGTGTTCTTAGTTATTTGCATTTACAAACCCCCTTTTTTAACGAACAAACATAGATGAATAAAATAGGTCCTCTGAAGAATAGTCAATAAAACTCTACATTACATAGAAAAAGCATGACACGATTTCTGTCTAACAAAAAAGTAACAATTCTTATTTTTCTTTTCTAAAGAAGCATGGATCTGGCGAAGTGACGAAAAGACTGAATCAGATTCAACTTGTTACAACGTTCAGTTGAATAACAAATGGTATCCTAGATTAGAGGAGAGGAAGATGGTGAAGCAGAAGATAAACCAATGCAGGGATGAACAAAGAAAAGAGGAACTGAGTATAACCTATATCACTACACTAGACAAAGAAGTGAAGAGTGTGTGGAAAGACAAAAGACACTTCTACGACACACTTGCAAGTGAAGCAGAACAGGCTGCAGGTAAGGGAGAGAGAGAGAGAGAGAGACCTGACAACATTATATCAAATAACCAAGTTACTATCCGGGAAGAGACCAACACAGATGAAACCAACGAAAGATAGTGAAGGAAACTTAGCTACCAAAGAGGAGAAATAAAACTCTTGAATTGACCACCACCTGCGACTCATCCACATATACAACCAGCAGCCCAGCCACAGATATATCAGTGAACGCAAACACTCCGACAAAAGTAGAATTGAAGTCATGAACTCAATAAAATCACTGAAAGCAGGCAAACCAGCAGCATCAGACAGAGTATCACCACAAACACTGAAAACAGACATAGAGACAACAGCGGACATCCTCACACCAATATTGCACAAGCTTTGCAAGCAAGCAAGCAAGCAAGCAAGCAAGCAAGCAAGCAAGCAAGCAAGCAAGCAAGCAAGCAAGCAAGCAAGCAAGCAAGCAAGCAAGCAAGGAAGGAAGGAAGGAAAAGTACATGCCTATTGATTGGAAGAAGGGCTATCCTGTCAAACTCCCAAACAAGGAAGACCTCAGCTAAGTCTTTGCAAGAATTCGAGCCGAATCATCTTCCACCGCTGTCCACACCAAGCAAAATATTAGGCTACATCATTCTGGAAAGACTAAACAATACTCTGCATTCGACTAGATTATGACCGGAACTGGCTGGCTGGCTTCAGGAAGAACAAATCGTGTGTGGATCAAATTACAACCCAACGCAATGCACCATCATAGAACAAAGCATAGAATGACAGTCAACTGCATCTCTACCTTAACTTCATCGGCTTTGAAAAGGCCTTTCACCTACCTACCTACCTACCTATCTACCTAGGCAGCAATCTCTCAACTACAGTCGGTGGCACACACACACACACAGATGAGGATGTCAAAGCCACAGCATCGGAAAAACAGCAAAACAGGCCTTCATTCATTAGTCTGAAATAATCAGTGTGCAGATCTACTCCACTCCACTACACTACACTACACTACACTCAGCATAAAGTCTAAACAACATCCGCATTCTCAACACTAATATCAGTCAAGTAAGTCAGTGCTTCTATGTGATGGTCGAGAGACTTGGCGCGTTACGAAAAGCATTCCCAACAAACTGCAGACATACATGAACAGCTGCCACATACGCTCACTCAACACTGAAGATCAGATGGATGGCCAGAAAGAATAAACAACAAGGAACTCGAGCTGGCAATGAACCAACTAACAACCTATCGCTCAACAAATATGCAGAAGGAAGTGGAGATGGATTGGATTGGATATACACTGAGAAGACCGTTTGGGGACATCACGCGCCAGGTCAGGCCGTCGAGTGGAACCCATAGGGGAAACGACGAGTTGGGTGTCCGATAGTCACATGGAGGAGGTGGTGTGATGAAGAAATGAAAGCTTGTGGGCAGTTGTTGAGCCAGGTTGAAAAGACTGCATAGAAGAGAGTGAAATGGTAACATGCTAGTGAAGCCCTATGTTCCACTGGGAACCCAAGGGACAAATAACAATAATAAATCGCAGACTAGTAGTTACTAAGGTTGCTGCATCTGATACAACTGTTTGAACGATAATCTAATTCCTGTAGTACACGCTAATATCGCATCAGAGACCAATGAATAGATTACCAACGAAGTAGACAGGTCACTACTAAGGTTATCTAATCATCGCAGATTAGTCTATTACACCAATCTGGTAGGCAATGAAATATAAACTTGAAAATATTTTGTACTATTACAGCATGAAATACTGAACTGTCTATATTTCTTTTCACAATAAAAAAAGTATATTTTAACTGCAGTTTCATTTCAAGGAAGTAACTAGATAATATGCATAAGAAATGTTATATAAGCTGAGTAGTAATTTCACCTTCAAACAATTGTGACTGAGAAAAAACACATGAAATTGTAGATATTTATACCGTAGATATGAATCATACACATGAAGTTTTCAGACAAGTGAATGTTAGCATGATGGAACCCTGTAGAAACAAAAACTTGGGAATAATTTTGCAGCAGTCTGTTTTCATTCTTCATTTGCATCACTGTAGATGCTTCATAGTTAGAATCAAATTCCTAACACCTGTCAATGCTATTTACTTGCTCATAATGTCAATTAGGTAAGGGCATTCGGTGGGAATCCCTGCTCGACTTCGGCTTCAGGCTCGTTAACACTCGTCAGCTAGGCATATTTGCAACCTCGACGGAACTTATGCCACCCCACTGAGAGTCGAACCCGCGTCACCTGATGTTGTAGTCAGTGACCCAACCACTGAGCTATTCAGGTGAACAAGCATGAAACCTAGGCTGAGTATGGCCTCCTGATACTCAACAAAGTGCATCCAATGATGAGCATCCTGGCTTGTTGAGCACCGCGAAATAATCGACAGAATTCGGTCAGTACTCAGGACTAGATAAATTATTCAAGTGATATAGAAAAACAGTTAGAATGCATCGATTGTTTTATTCCGATGGAATACTGTCAATAAAGCAGAACAATTAAAAACCTACCCAAATATCAAATTTTCCAGGATAAAGTCGTTCGGGAATACGTAAAGCATAGATCGCAGCTCCTGATATGTAAAGTACAGCCATAAGAACTAGCCAACCAAGAGCAGAATAACTGACACCTTCCCAAAAGCCTTCCATCAATATGTAGTGGGTACACGGAATTACACCCGATAAACCAAGTGAAATAAATAACACTAAAATAAATCAAAAACATGAAATTGTTATGCCAGTCGAAGAAGGGGTGGGGGCGAAACATAAATCTCAGATAAGCGTGATCACTCCAATTATTTTATTGGTTCCAAATATTTTACGTAAGACTTATTGTATAGCTCAGTTCAAGAGACTTACATTGACCGCTGACTCATTTCTGTATAAGTTATGTTCCTGAAATAGCTGCGTGCTGAGTGAGACCAAATATTGTACATTACTTCAGTTTTGTATGCATGAAATCGGTTATTTATAAATTATAGTACGCTGTGAGCAGGTGATTCAGTTACGTACACACATGACTCAGACCAGCAAAACGTAAGAATAATTCCAAACCCCATCCTAATAACAACAATTAGACCTCTTGGTTTTACGAGAATCTTACTGTCAAGAAAGCAACGGTTAGTGAAACTATTACTGAAAAGGATGGGACGCTGATAACCTCCCAAGACAGGCGGTCAAAACATTGTGGAGAGCACTTTGAAGCACAGTTCGACTGGCCCACAACAACACTTGTTACCCAACATTCAGCTTGAACCCGAAAGGGATGAAGATATCGGTCCCCAACCCTCCTTGAAGTTGAGAAGGCTGTGTCGAACCTGAGATGATGCAAAGCAGTAGGACCTGACAGTTTGTTACCCGAAGTGTTCGTGGATGGAGGTAGGAGATTACTGATTAAAGTGAAGGAGGTACTAGGTAGTGTATGAGAATTATAGGTAGTCCTGTAGACTGGTCTACTCCGCTGGTCACTGCACTGTATGAGAAAGGAGAGAAGTCTTCTTGTGATAATCATAGGGGAATTAATTCAACTAACATCGCAACCGAAATTCCTGGATCTATAAGTATCTGACAACAAAATAAATCACGAGGACAACACATTCGAAACATGGACAAGGGTGAATGGATAGAATCGTCGCCCTTTTTCAGGTTATGGTGCACAACCCTTGTAATATTTCTTTACCTGAAGACTGCACTTAACTTCGTCGATCGTGAGCTGTTGTGACACTGCCTGACTATGAAGGGGGTACCGAGAAAGTATATAATGCTTATCAGAGCTGTCTACTGTAACTCACGCAGCCGTGCAAGGGCATATAGAGAGTTGTCATCAGAATTGATGAAAACTAGTGGTGTCCGCCAGGGATGCCCATTGTCACCGTTCTTATTTAAATTTGTCATAGAAGCAGTAATGAACATAACCTAAGTTATCTGTGACTTGGACAAGGATTGATCTACTCCATGGAAGTCATCTGGTTGGCCTGAGGTGGTAAGTAGACGACATTGTTGTGTTAGGTGAAGACGCTGACAAAACCCAGGGTCTTCTAGGCGCGTTGAACAAAAATTTGAGTATTTTCGTCGAACATGTGTTTCGCACCTGTCAAATGTAAGATGATGCTCCAAGACTGGTCTACAATTAGTCCCAGTTTATTGATAAGGAGTGAAGTAGTAGAATATGTCAACCACTTCACTTACTTGGGGAGTCGCATCAACTCGTTTGGCGTTTGCCAACTTACGTCATATCTGGCATCGACTGGTGACATATCCGACAATCCATTAAAGGACAAATATACTGCGCTTCAGCTAGCTTAGTTCTGTAATACGGCTGTGAGATACAGCCGTTGAAAGTAGATGTGAAGAGACAACAGGCTTTTGACTACAGGCGTCTACATAGCATTGCTCACACATGGTGGAATCACTGTGTGAGTAAAGTAGGGGCAGGTGAATGGCACTAAGCAAGACGCGCAAGCCAGTTAATGAAGCTGTAAACCTACGCAGACGCTGTTTTGAACAGACGTTGAGTATGCTGAGTTACTGCTTACTTCGATGTGCGGTGGATTAGGTTGGAAGAGAGCTCTGACTGACTAGAATATGATGTCCCATCAGTCCATGAAGTCTCTGGCCCGTGGTCTGAGTAGTGTAGACTGCCTGGCTGGGATCCTCGACACACTAAGACTAGTTGGAGATCCTTTTTAACATGCCTAAAAGTCGGTCACAGTGGCACAGATGTATTCTCCTCTTTGACTTCAAATTCCTTCTCCTCCTAAACACCTTTGTCTACTTTGATATAACTTTTTCTATCCACTTTTTGTTTGTATGTTACTGTGAAGTGTGGCAACCTGGAGCCACGCAGCTGCAGATGAGGTTTTACGTGGATTTTTACAGGATTCGATAGTGATATCCAATAAATAATACAAAAAATGTACAAATAGTGGTAAAACGTTAAGGAAAACACGTAATTGGTTAGATCTCCATCTTTTCGGCTACCGAAACACTAACAAGCAAATCATTTTTTTAGAGAATATATACATCTTCACCATATAACTTACATGCTCTGGCTACACGATAAGCTGGAGTCAGAAAATAATCTTGTGTACAAACAAAGGCGCAAACTGAACCAAGTATGAGCACAGCCGTAATATAAACAAATTTGAACTGTTTATGACAATAGAAGGAATAATGAATCCAAGGTACAAATGACCCGATAACAAGTAAAGCAATCCCCATATAATCCAATCTAACAGATAAAGAGGAAAATAATCCATAGTCACAATTACAATGAAAGATATTGGATATAAAACTGGTAGAGGAAAAAGTACATTTTTAGATTTACAAGTTAAGAAATATGTGAAAAACGTGGTGACGTAAGCTACTAGGTCACTAATTAGAGATAGAAATCTAGAGAAGAGAAGTGAATTCACAATGTTTACTGTCTATACACATCTTACAGTGAAGCATCAATCTCAATAGCTTTCTGCTTCAAGATCATAATAAAGAGTTCTGTCACATCAAAATATAAACATGGACTAGGGATTTTCCAGTACCTGACGTGACTTATTGATGGTTTACATAGTTGATTTTTAATCATTGGATTACAGGTTCGAATTTGTTACGCCTGTTTATTTTTGTGTTCATCTTCGTACTTCCACAAACTGTTTGTTATAAACATGGAGTGACTTTAAAGGCCACCCTAGCAACTGCTGAAGTGACCAATCAGGCTTCGATATTTCACCTGGGAAAGTACATTCCCATAAAATAAAGGAATGTAATTGGCTATCTCATCAGTTGCCAAGGTGGCCTTTAAAGTCACCCTTAAACATGCAGTCTATAGTTATTACTGTATTTGTTGTGCAATCTCACTACTCATCCATTCTTTCTGTTTACATAACGTTTTCTTCGTATTTATTACGACTGTTTGCCCCTTCCCACTTGTAACTGTCATTCTGGTTCGTTATCTTTGTCTCCCTGATTAATTTGTGTCAATCTATACACAAAGTAGATATTTGAATAGTCTACTTGTTGAAGGAGTGATCTCCAAATTTTGATTGTACATTATTTAGTTGGATCTTGTTGCTTTTCCTTGTGTATGATTCGATGATTTTTCTCATGGAAGCGTCACAGTTGGAGGTATTGATTATTGTTATCTGAGTTCCCTTAAAGGTCACCATAGCCACAAGTGAAATCACTAATAAGGTTTTCTTATTGCGATTGGAAAGGTAGTTTTTTTTCATAAATTACACAACTCTCACTGGTTACTTCAGTAAAGGTCTTCAGAGTCACTCTTATTATTCTGCTTATAACCTTTATTTACAGTGCCAATTTGATGATAAACCTTATTAATTTTTTTTGGACTTTTAGGGTTTGCGCATCATTCTGATTGAAATCCAGCAGTCGCTCTCTTAGATTCAGTAATGTGACACAGAAAACTCTCAGTCCTGAAAGTTATGAAAAGATATACACCTCTATGAAACGGGATAACTTTAAATTGTATGTGTGACTCAGTGATGAAAGCTGGGATTTACAATCAGATTTAGCTTGGGTAGCCGGGTAGTATTGTTAGCGCCCACGATTTAACTCTCTGTCTCCCTCACTAACACACAATGAATTCGAGTCGTAGAACAATGAATATACGCCAACATAATCATTTAGCGAAAACCTTATTTTGGTACCCTCATCACGTTAAATTGCTATAATATTCAGTGTGAGAAACTCAACGCCTAGGACAATTTTTGAAATTCAACTGCACACTTTTAACATGCTATAAACACCTGAACGAAATAAAAGCGAATAGACTTTTTGAAGTACCGATAGTGTAACAAGCAACAGAGCACTGATAATTTTTATCTGCAATAATGAAAAAGATTCAGATGTTGAATTCATCGGTCTCTATTGGTATATGGGCTCCTGTGAGGATGCCTTGATATTACCTGTGTTTTTAGTTGTAGTAATGATGAATAGTGGATAAGCCAATGGAGACTGATCAACTCGGTTTAATCAACGATGGTATAATACAAGCAATTATACTAAAACTATACCCGTCGCACAAGAAGTGGCTATCGTGGCTCGGTGGTGTAGTGGATAATGCTCTGGCGTTTGAAGCGATCGGTCCCGAGTTCCGGTGGGAACAACATCACTCACGGGGAGGCAGGTACATCCAGCTGACGAGTCCCAAATAGGACGAAATGCGCACCCTGGATTCCACTGTTAGCCGCTATCCATCATTAAAACAAGATTTTTATTACCAATATTCTTAAAAATGATCCATGCATTTCCATAGGGGGAGTGAAGCTTTGAATGGTCATTTCTGAAATCACTTTTCACTCCTAAAGTGAAAGGTAAACGAAAATAGACTCCATATGAATTCAACACTTATAAATATCAAAGAACTCTCGGGTTAAGACTTTTTGACGATATATAACATACGGAATTGAACTCAGAACCATCAAGTTAGGTGATGAGTAGATTCGCTATCACTCGTAACTGTATTCTCCATATAGTGACTATCAATCACCGTCAATGTTAGGCGCCTGTCATCATTATCAACGTGATTGATTACTGTTACATTCCAATCATTCCCAGATTACAACGTTATGATGACTACGCTACAGAATCAATAAGTTACCAACAATACCTCTAATGCGAAAGAAGAAGATATATTTCTAATGAAAGACTTTAATGTTTAGTTAAAGATATACTATGTTTAGAAATGATGGGCAGTGGATAGCAGTGGAATCCAGGATGCGCAATACACAGGATGAGCAATAACACTAAAGATATACTAGTTGGAAAAATTGTAGACAAATATATGGGCCTCCTACGTTATCTCAGAATTAGAAACATTAGTAAATTAAAAGGTATGACAAGTTGGAAGAAAAAATCATTAAGTATTACTCATAAGTTGCACAAAATAAGTAGGATTCAGAGTTCATCAGCAATGTTTTAGGATAATTCCATTGCCCAGTTCGTAGTACACGGTCAATTCCATAATAGGGTCTCTTTAATTCAAACTCTACACTTGTCGTTAAGTCCACAATTATTAAATAAATAATAATGAAGTTATTCAAGTTAGTATGCTCAATGAAGCTAGCTAGCTTCATAAAGTCAACACACAAGCTAAACCTTAGACAAGATTCTAAATAACAGACTATTAAATATTCCATATTCATATCACTAAACGCAGTTATACTGTTATGAAGCAGACGGAACATGAACAGAGATAGTAAATCATACTTTATAAAAGCATCTAGAGTTTAATTCTACAATGGGTCACTGGTGATCTGAATAGCTTAGTGGAAGCGTAGGTTCACGGTCTTTTGACCAACTGTCTTTAATCACTTACCAAGAGTGAAAATCACCAATAGTTTTAAAACAGATACATGTAAAAGTGAAGAAGGAAATCCTCAAGGAATTTGAGCACTCATAAAAATCTATTAATTAATCAACTCAAGTATATAATATATTAAAAGCATTTAAAATGCATCTACATCTAATATATTATCTACTTGAGTTAGTTAATTAATAGATATTTTGAGTTTTGAGGGAGTTATGAGGATTCGGAAATATTTCAAGTTGTTATTCATCGAAGACTGGCATCCGTTGGAGGAACAATCGAGACCTGAGGGCACTGGAAAGCAGTCTCCTCCTCGTATGGGACTCCTCAGCAGTGCGCGACCAAGACCCCACCAGGGGTCGAACCCACGATCCTCAGGTTCCGTGGCCAGCACGCTGCCATTGAGCCACTGGGTCAGAATCCAATGGTCCAACTTCTGTTAGCTCACGATATAGCGCAATCGCCACCCAATGTCATCGTCTAGTAAATGTCCTCACGACCATCACGCTTAATTAATGCTCAAATTCTTCGAGTTTTCCATACCATCAGTAACCGCAGAACTACCAGTGAACACAAACACTCCGACAAAAGTAGAATTGAAGTCATGAACTCAATAAAATCACTGAAAGCAGGCAAACCAGCAGAATCAGATAGAGTACCACCACAAACACTGAAAACAGACATAGAGACAACAGCGGACATCCTCACACCAATATTGCACAAGCTTTGCAAGCAAGCAAGGAGGGAAGGAAGGAAGGAAGGAAAAGTACATGCCTATTGATTGGAAGAAGGGCTATCCTGTCAAACTCCCAAACAAGGAAGACCTCAGCTAAGTCTTTGCAAGAACTCGAGCCGAATCATCCTCCACCGCTGTCCACACCAAGCAAAATATTAGGCTACATCATTCTGGAAAGACTAAACAATACTCTGCATTCAACTAGATTATGACCGGAACTGGCTGGCTGGCTTCAGGAAGAACAAATCGTGTGTGGATCAAATTACAACCCAACGCAATGCACCATCATAGAACAAAGCATAGAATGACAGTCAACTGCATCTCTACCTTAACTTCATCGGCTTTGAAAAGGCCTTTCACCTACCTACCTACCTACCTATCTACCTAGGCAGCAATCTCTCAACTACAGTCGGTGGCACACACACACACACAGATGAGGATGTCAAAGCCACAGCATCGGAAAAACAGCAAAACAGGCCTTCATTCATTAGTCTGAAATAATCAGTGTGCAGATCTACTCCACTCCACTCCACTACACTACACTACACTCAGCATAAAGTCTAAACAACATCCGCATTCTCAACACTAATATCAGTCAAGTAAGTCAGTGCTTCTATGTGATGGTCGAGAGACTTGGCGCGTTACGAAAAGCATTCCCAACAAACTGCAGACATACATGAACAGCTGCCACATACGCTCACTCAACACTGAAGATCAGATGGATGGCCAGAAAGAATAAACAACAAGGAACTCGAGCTGGCAATGAACCAACTAACAACCTATCGCTCAACAAATATGCAGAAGGAAGTGGAGATGGATTGGATTGGATATACACTGAGAAGACCGTTTGGGGACATCACGCGCCAGGTCAGGCCGTCGAGTGGAACCCATAGGGGAAACGACGAGTTGGGTGTCCGATAGTCACATGGAGGAGGTGGTGTGATGAAGAAATGAAAGCTTGTGGGCAGTTGTTGAGCCAGGTTGAAAAGACTGCATAGAAGAGAGTGAAATGGTAACATGCTAGTGAAGCCCTATATTCCACGAGGAACCCAAGGGACATATAATAATAATAATAATAATAATAATAATAAAACCCATCTACACTTCTCCCAGATTATTTTTATCTGCCGGGGAAAAACAATGTAGAACAAAAGCTAGGCTTTAAATTAAGAGATGTGTGCTCACATTGGTTATGCTCGATTGGTTCTGTTTTACGGTTGAAAGAAGTAGAATAAGTTAAACAATATAATGCATTTTATAAAAGGTTTTGGTTTACTTCAAAAAGTTTTACTCTAAATGCGCTGAACAAACACCATTTTGACTAAGATACACGTACCCGAAGGCACAGTACCTAATTAGTGTAGGCACTGATGGCAACTTTACACTGGATGAAAGCATACAAGTAAAGATTAATCACAAGTTTTGAAATACAGACAAAACACTCAAATGTACTTAAAACGTGCTCACTACTGAGAACATGTTTGGCATAAAAAAGGTGGTTAACACACAGAACAGCTTAAATGACAAAAACAGGAAGAAAACTCAGAGGTTGTGTGGAGATTTGTTCCTTAGAGAAAATGACCCACGTTTATTAACTAGGATGTGGTAATGCCATCCGTCTGTTTGAACTTCGATAAGTTAAGCTGTGTCAAAACTTTGACCTATTGGTTGAAAATCGAACGCCTGGGATAGTCAGTCACAGTTTTATCCAAGTTAGTAGTAGAAACAGCAAATTTATAAAATGCAAGCTTCTTCACAGTGAGGTCTATAACCAGTGCATAAACCTGTGAACAATCATTACAGTACAATAATTACAACTTTTTCCAGAAAAAAAGAAAAGTGATAATTTATCAACTTACTTATTAAACAATCTACCGACACGCTCCGAGTGACAATAAACAGTATGAAATAACCATGAAAAACCAAGCGCCAGAATGGCGCTCACAAAAAACACTTGGACAACCATTTTCTCTTGCCAGTGAATATCCAAGCCAGGGCGCACAAGGAATGAGATACTTAAGATAAGGAAGCATATAAAACCTAAAGAAAGAAATTGAGAGTAAGAAAATATATTGCATATTAAGGTTGGTGAAATAAAAGTCTAAGTGATTATTCATTAATATATACATATATATATATATATATATATATATATATATATATATATATATATATACACTATGATGAATTCAAAATTGTTGAATTCAATCATGATCCTATTGTTTTCATAATGTACCATTCAGCTGAAAAATGTACAACTAACTTTGACTCCAATGCATTTCACTTTCAGTGTTACGGCTATGCCATACATCTGCAATGTCACAAGAATGTCACTAAATAAGCACATATCATACCAAAACTTACATCAAGAAGCCTTGCGAAAATGCAAACAACGTACAACCTCGCCCACAAAGTGCATCGCTTAAAGCCATCACACTTGACAACAACATGCAGGTTTAAAATGTTTAAAAAAGTTGCTATAAAAGTAGACAGAACTGCTTGAAAGGAGGAGTGTGAAAATCAAATCTAGTGAGAGCATTCAAAGTTTCGAAGGCATCACCAAGTGGGTACATCCGCATCATGTAATCGACTTTGAGCCATGTCACCAAAAGTCTAGTTATTCATTCCTATTATCTTGAATATATCTCAACCAGACAGTTTACGCCGTCTCAGACGGCTCAGACCAGCTAGACACTCCATGAACTCCTGACAAGTCCTAGCCTGACCACCTTGGGTCTCCTTCCTACCCAATCTTACTTCAGCTAGCACTGCACTTCGAGGTAGACGGCAGTTCAGCACGCCTAACGCATTTCGGAGCTATCTCAGTTGTTGAAGGTTTATAACCTCGTAGACTGACTTACTTTCTACGTCTAGTAGTACCCTTAGCCTAACCTCGATAGTGCTTACACGGTGATTCTGCTATAGGTGAGTAAAACTGTAAGGACACGTGGTGAAAAGCTACAATTTTTATATCTACTTTCAGGATCTGTTTTAGCCGCATAACAGGACAGAGCGAACTGCAGCGCAGTATTCTCATAAGGCATATTAACTAAAAAGCCATCTCCTCCAGATACCTTGACATGAAATTATGTTTCAGTGTTAGACGGCTTCAGAATTACAAAACAGTCATCATCATCCCTCTTCATCTGCAAAATTTTACCCACCTTTTCATGATGATATCTTAAAGTTTTCACTTGTCCGTGGCTATTCATAACTCTTGGAGCTAACAAAACCGACTCTGTAGTCCCCTGAACTAGTGACCCAAACTACACTCATTTGTCAAAGGAAGTGAATGTATGTAGTTTATAACTCGATTGTCAGAGGATTGTTTACAGAGGTGTGGTTCATTAGCCTGAGAGCTTGGTTAGCAAGCTCTGGGTTCCGGGTTGGAGTCCCTCCCTACCCACTGGTCTCAGCAGCTGGGTAGCTTCACAAGCCCTCAAATAACAACTGTGACCCATAGCCCAGTATGCAAATCTGTTTGACTAGATGTGAAGGTGCCAGAGGTTTCGACCACAGTTGTCCTTACAGTGTTACTCACCTGTAGTAAAATCACCGTGTAATACATCCATCCGAATCAACATAGGACCAGACATTACTGCGTAACGAACTGACTTGCCACAGCTCATATCAGTACATCAAGTAAAAAAGCATTAAAGTGGAAGATTAAGAAAAGAAAACCCGGTCGAAAGAAATAGAAAAGAACTAAAAGAGAGAAAGGAAGGATGAAAGAATGGTGAGATTCAGTATAGCGTCATAAAGATGAGGATAGTGTGTGTATACATCTGAGCCATTGACATCGGTTCTCAGCCATATCCCATAGAGTCTCCAGCCACTGGTTCTTGTCCCGCCGACCCCAACCACTTGGTCTGCGTCCCCCACATGACTCAAACCAACAGTCAGAGACTTCATACATTAGTGCCATGTTTTAGTCTGACCACCTCAGGCCTTTTCCAGTCTGCACCTACTCCGGCCAACATTGTGTGGTGAATCAATCGGTGACTAGGCATATGTAATACGTGTACCAACCATCTCAGTCGATGAAGCTTCATAATCTCGTCAACTGATTTAATTCTACTCCCTAAAACTATATACCTGACTTCTGCATTATTCATGTCATGGCACCACGGAATACGGTCTGTACTACGAAGAGAGCGGTGGTCAAACACTTGAAGCCTTCTCATGTCTTCCACCTTTAATGGCCATGTTTCACAACCATACAGTAAGAACAGGTCGGACTGCTGTGCAGTACACGCAACCCTTAATAGACAAACGGATATCACGGTGGCGCCACAGATGGCGTAAGATGGCAAAAGCCAATCGAGCCTTTTGCGTGCGTGCAAAGATTTCATCAGCAACTGACCCACCGGGGCTGATCCTACTTCCCAGGTAAGTGAAGTAGTCGACACACTCAACCACTTCACTCTCCATTGTTAGCCGTGGCACCGTTGAAGACAAATCCTGGAGCAACAATTCGCATTCAGGTGGTGAGAAACACATACCAAACATTCTCAAATTGCCACTCAAAGTGTCTAGAAGACTCTTTATCTTGCCTGTGTCTTCACCTAACAGGACTATGTCATTTGCGTATTCTAGGTCTAACGAAAATTCTCCTATCATTACATCAACCTTTGTGTAGTCAGGTGATGAGAGGGAGACCTTTATAAGAATATCTATGACAAAATTGAACAGGAATGGAGAGAGTGGGCAGCCTTGATGGACAGCACTCGACAAGTACAGATCCCGGATATCTCACCATAGGCTCTAACAAGCCCACAAGTGTACCAGTAGAGAGCCTTCAATGAGGTGATGTACTTACTCGGCACACCTTTCAGTGAGAGACTTTGCCATAAGACTTCTTAATCAACGGAGTCAAATGCCGCCTTCAGGTCGAGAAACATACAGCTATTGTCGGGTATCGGTAAGCATGCCTGTGTCCCAGAACCTGAAGTAGTCTGAATATTTGGTCGATACACCCGTGAACAGGTCTAAAGTCTACGTGGTTTTCTTGGGCATGCTGTTCCTGAGCCCCAATCAGGTGTCGAAGAATTATAGAACCCATAATTTTAGATACTATGTTCGTCAGGCTGATTCCTCTGTGGTTATCACAACAGGACTTCTCTCCTTTCTTGAAGACTGGAACAAACAGTGATTTAGACCAGTTATGTATACACACACTATCCTCATCTTTATGACGCTATACTGAATCTCACCATTCTTTCATCCTTCCTTTCTCTCTTTTAGTTCTTTTCTATTTCTTTCGACCGGGTTTTCTTTTCTTAATCTTCCACTTTAATGCTTTTTTACTTGATGTACTGATATGAGCTGTGGCAAGTCAGTTCGTTACGCAGTAATGTCTGGTCCTATGTTGATTCGGATGGATGTATTACACGGTGATTTTACTACAGGTGAGTAACACTGTAAGGACAACTGTGGTCGAAACCTCTGGCACCTTCACATCTAGTCAAACAGATTTGCATACTGGGCTATGGGTCACAGTTGTTATTTGAGGGCTTGTGAAGCTACCCAGCTGCTGAGACCAGTGGGTAGGGAGGGACTCCAACCCGGAACCCAGAGCTTGCTAACCAAGCTCTCAGGCTAATGAACCACACCTCTGTAAACAATCCTCTGACAATCGAGTTATAAACTACATACATTCACTTCCTTTGACAAATGAGTGTAGTTTGGGTCACTAGTTCAGGGGACTACAGAGTCGGTTTTGTTAGCTCCAAGAGTTATGAATAGCCACGGACAAGTGAAAACTTTAAGATATCATCATGAAAAGGTGGGTAAAATTTTGCAGATGAAGAGGGATGATGATGACTGTTTTGTAATTCTGAAGCCGTCTAACACTGAAACATAATTTCATGTCAAGGTATCTGGAGGAGATGGCTTTTTAGTTAATATGCCTTATGAGAATACTGCGCTGCAGTTCGCTCTGTCCTGTTATGCGGCTAAAACAGATCCTGAAAGTAGATATAAAAATTGTAGCTTTTCACCACGTGTCCTTACAGTTTTACTCACCTATAGCAGAATCACCGTGTAAGCACTATCGAGGTTAGGCTAAGGGTACTACTAGACGTAGAAAGTAAGTCAGTCTACGAGGTTATAAACCTTCAACAACTGAGATAGCTCCGAAATGCGTTAGGCGTGCTGAACTGCCGTCTACCTCGAAGTGCAGTGCTAGCTGAAGTAAGATTGGGTAGGAAGGAGACCCAAGGTGGTCAGGCTAGGACTTGTCAGGAGTTCATGGAGTGTCTAGCTGGTCTGAGCCGTCTGAGACGGCGTAAACTGTCTGGTTGAGATATATTCAAGATAATAGGAATGAATAACTAGACTTTTGGTGACATGGCTCAAAGTCGATTACATGATGCGGATGTACCCACTTGGTGATGCCTTCGAAACTTTGAATGCTCTCACTAGATTTGATTTTCACACTCCTCCTTTCAAGCAGTTCTGTCTACTTTTATAGCAACTTTTTTAAACATTTTAAACCTGCATGTTGTTGTCAAGTGTGATGGCTTTAAGCGATGCACTTTGTGGGCGAGGTCTTACGTTGGTTTTTGTCTGACATTGGTTGTAAGGACCACCAAAACTCGAAAAAAATTTGTTTGAGACTGGTTGTAATCTTTTTGGAAAAGTTTGATTTACATTCTATGGTGTTGCTTCCGTAGTTTGAAAAACTTACTGAAATTTTTGGACTAAAGTATGCTATTTTTATAACTAATTTTGACATTGAGAAGGTAGAACCACTACAGATTTTGACTACTCTTGGAAAAGATGTTACTGCTAAAAATCCAAGAGTCAGTAGCTTAACTTTATTCTCAAGCTCAAGAATTAGTTATAGCCGGTTCAGTTGTTTGAATCCTCAGGGGATAGTCTTTACACCCAACGTAACTTGACTGGGTCACTGTAATACAAAAGCTATATCAATAAAAGGTGATGAGTGGCAAAAGTAAGTCGATGAATATACTGACAAACAAGTTTTACTTTTCTTTACGCACGCTGAGAACCGATCACCATCAATTTAGATAACGTTTCCACAAATTCTGCTACCTAAGTTTAAATAGCTAGCCAAGTGGTTCATTTGTCCCCGGTAATCATATAGATGACTTTAACTACCTTGATAGCTTCAAGTCATCGAAATGAAATCAGATTGGAATAATGGATATTGAGAAGTTCAAGTATACAAAGGAAGTGTTGGAAGCGAAGGCAAAGTACCACTTATCAGTATTTACAATATGTAATTGAACGCAAATGATAATAGTGGCCATTACTGTCAGATGACAGCGATTACCTTTACCCTAGAAGATAACTCTATAAACATCGAGATGAACTAGTGGATCAGACTATGAAGCCTTCACTAGTAGGTGAAAGGACTTGTCTAGTGTCTCTCACTGATTCAGTGGCAAGTAATTGAAAGGTAGTAGTGTACCAGTTTAACTGTCATACTACACTAACCTAGAGCGACCTGACGGGAGCGACAAAGCAGTATTTGCAATAGAAGTGGAACAACTAAAGTTGTCGTAATTTGCAAAACCAGAATAAAACTGAAGTGTGGTCAAAAAACACAATACAACTAGCCATTAGCACAAGCAGTATTATCTACATCTGAATATAATAACATGAATAGCATTGAGGTAAAAGTATCCGCCTTTTGAAAGAATTTGGTGATATGGGTGGTATTTAAAATTGAGAAAACTATTGCGCTAGTTGTCTAGATATTTGTGGACGCTTTTTTTCTGAATAACTTAAGTTTTGTATGATTTATGCATTTATGTGAAGAATGAATAGTATCAGAATCTATGAGCCATATTCGTATCATAAGTTGCTGATAAAATTAAAGAGAATCATCAAAACAGTGGAAATATTAGTGTTTTCTTCAAACATTTGCTGAAAATATAACTACATCGCTTACTCAACATACTTAAACATCCTTACAGTGAAATATCCCCACTAAATACGAATAAAGGGTCATAATCATTTCGAGGTGGGAATAGACTATTCTCAATGTGAAATACATACAACTATAAAAGGTTTGAATTTCTTAAGTCAAGAATAATCTCTTATTATATCGCAATTAGAAATCAGGTACAAAGGTTAGTGAAACAGGGTGTGCATAACATAATCGAGAATGGGTTAACGTACTCAACGGTAGCTAATATCAGAAATACAGAAGACGACTTCATCCAGGTGTTCAGGCAGGAAAAGGTGAAGTCGAGCTTGAAACCAGGATCCATCGTTTGGAAACATGATGTTAAAGCTAACGCGACACACTTCCAACTTGGCTATACTAAGTTATACAAATCGCGAAAAACCCAGACATTAGTTACCTTCTACATTTAACCAAATCAAAGTGTCAAGTAGATTAATATTTCGCACAACTTTAAGCAAAACTGCACCAAAAAGTAAGCTGCGCAAATCCTTTCCGAAGATGGAAATCGTAACGCCTCAATGACAAAACGGTCAGGTAGTCCGCTACAACTTCAACAACCCAGCTGGTGTTAGCTCTGCACTTAAAAAAACAATAAGATTCTACCTGAACCAAATTTCAGATACCATTTAACTAACAGAGGATTTCAGTGTATACTACGTGAGACGCAATGTCATTAGGATGGTAGTGCACATGGTTTTTTTGTAGCTATAGGTTTAGTAAGCCAACTGAACTGGATAATGAAATACAATACCCAAATATGTAAACACCGTGTGAATTGTGATACATACACGCATTGGATCTCTGACCGAAATTAAAAATATTTGCCTGCCGATCTTTACTAAGCACTACAAACACCAAGAAATGTATCTTTATGTCAGTAATGATGAGAACAGCAGTTGTCGAATACCTAAGAAGTAGATGTGCTTCATACGCTGAGTTAAGATATAGTAGTAACGAATGACCTGTGCAGAAACAATCATAGCTTACCTATGAGATGTGTCCATATGTTCCCTGTTTCTGTATGGACACGAAACATTGAACGGAAGCATTCACGAAATGAGGGTAGTTGAGGTCGATGACCGCGTAAAAGGAAGTCATTATCTTTTAACCAGTGGGGCAAACTGTGATGGTGAACTACTTTCCAACCCTGTTTCCACAGGTGTATAACCAATTCTTCGGCATGTTCCACGGCTCTACTGGCAGCTTCCCCAATCTCATGAGCTGCAAATGTGAAGTAGTCACCACCATAACTAGCAGAACGACGATGAGCTGACAAAGGCGAATGGCTTTTTTTAGAAACGCTGAGTGACTTTAAGTCCGTAACTGAAGAATTTATATCCCAAGGCTGTTGAGCGGTGCAGGTGCTGGTGGTCGACTGGCTTGAGGAATCACTGAACAAACAGAATTCAGGAAACTTTCGCCGTCTGACTCCAGACTGTGATATCCAGTCTGCATTTGCTTTGCTGGCTGTTAGAGAATCGCAAGAAGGCGACGAATTGAAGCGAGCGGATCCCTCAGAATGCATACGCCTATGCTTGCCACGCATGTTGTGCATGTCAATCTAATAAAAAAGGCGAAAGTTTATATCCCAAAAACCAGCTACCTGCTCGGAACATAAGTGGAGGAGAGTTTGTGGTGAATTCTCTGACGGGTTCGGAAGATTCTCCATTGCTGGATGACCACACACAAAACAACCGCCAATGTCAGCTGACAGTGGCCCAAGGATCTGCATGATCCAACATAACAAACTTCAAACTTCTGGCTGTAAAAATACCGGAAAACTGTTCTTTGGGTTCTACCTCTGTATCACTGGAGTAAGTTCCGTGTTTGGAGTGGTTTTTCGGATCAAAGCAACCCCTAAAGGAGGGAAATAATCTGTCAACTAATTTATTAGCTTGATGTAAATAGTTTTGCTATCCATGGTTTGTAAGCCAATAGGTGACTTGGTGCATGCAGCCTACCTATACCGAAGCACTCTACATATGGATTAAACCTCTTTTTGGAAGCATCAGAAGAGAAAGCCGTAATAACTTCATCAATAGGAGAGATCTTGCTCCATTCTCAAAGGATGATCTCTAAGGTACTATTTATGATGGAAGCTTGAGAGCAATTGGTTAGGACGAAAAGGATTGTGGGTGATATGATTCATCATGACCATATCTCCTTTTATCCTCTTATGTGGAACCAGGTACAGCAACTAAGCGTTCCTGAAGGGGTTTGTGCAGCAGCCCAGTCTTCTTCGTGGCTCTTTTCTGAACGCGCTGTTAGGGAGGCACATTCTTCTCCATGTATGAAGAAGTAACTAGAGACTTTTTCTCCGGAGGAGGACGAATATATTTGTTTGTGCACCGTACTGAAAAGGGCCAGAGTTCAACTCTCCAAAATGGGAGACAGAAACCATAGGACTCCAAATACCACGTTGGCTACAACGCTACAGTAGGAAGAAGCTTCAGCTATATCCCCAAAGGTATTCCCTTGACATTTTCCAGTGTTTGAATGAGAAATACCTATTTCCTTTGTGCAGCGAGAACAAGAGTTACACCTGGACTTGTCTATAATCACTGTCTTATGTTTCTTCCGGTCGAGACGCAGGATTTCACAAGCCCGACGTACGATTTTGGAAATGTCCTCGTCTAAGACCTAGATATCTGTTGAACCCTGTTACATAACAACAATTATGATGAATTTGAAAGCCTTTTCAATCCGCTAATTGGACTTCTGTGGCGGAATAATTATCGGGGACACGCTATTCAGACTATTATCAGAACAAACCCAGCAGTATGACGGGCAGAAACCATCAGGTCAAGATGTTAACTGTAGGTTCGCTTTATCTCCATTCTATCCAAGTTTCTTACTTCGAGCAGCAAAAATTGCAAAAGCGTGTGCAGCCCACTTGAATTCAAAGGGCACGTCATGAATTAAGCAGTTGTGTTGTCAAGAGAATCCTTTTACTGTACAGTGGTTTTAGCTTGGAACTATTTGAAGCCACTTGCACACCTTCATAAACTGCTATTCGTACTTGTAGTCCCTCGCGGCCCTTCACTTCTGGGTCTTGGTCAAATATGATAAAATCATTACAAGAATATATGTTAGTGTTATCCCTGTATGTTTAGAAAATCCAAAGAAGCTGGAAATACATTGAAATTTATTCTTAAAACGATTCGATCAGACTTGTAACAACCAAGGTCTGGATATCTACAATCTTATGATAAAAGCACATGAAATTAATTGCCAATGTCTATCTCATCGGACAGTGTGCCATAGTCCCTACTCCTGTTACTTCCAGATAATGTTGATAAACCATCCCTAGACTACCTGTTTAGGCCTTGGGCTCTAAAACTTTTTCTCGGAAGTTGTGTGTCAAATTACTTCTTGGTGCGTTGTTTCAGTCATTGAGATATGCTCTCTGGTTGAATGGTCCACCTTTATGCAAGCTTAGCACCCTTCAGTCTATTGCTTCCCAGTCACTCTGAACTCAAGTTCAGGGTAAGAGCACGGTAGCGTGTGGCAATCGGCTTTTATTCGTACAACCCTAAATCGAATGACAGTCTCCAGAATACACAACGTGAACTGCATGTATTTACCGTAAAGAGTAAGCACCCACAGTCACTCGGCCACAAATATTTATCGCAGTTTGGGTGCAGTAACACTTCAAGAAAATTGGCTACATTATCTGCATTATGATGGTCTAGTCTATTTAAGTGGTTCCACACTAATTTAGCTCAACCGCTGTATTTCCATAAGAAGCGTGGAGTAGTCACGGTCATAAATATCAGTACTACCTAGTCTCTGCCCAGTTTTGCGCACCACAGCTTTTCCAATAAGAATTTTGATCGCATTACAATTTGATGTCATCCAAGACACTTGAGTAGCCGCAAACATACATAGCAAATACTCGTTTCATATTTATCTGTTGTTTCCCTAATTAGTGTTTTTGTTGATGAATCTACTGTACCTGCTACTCCAAATTATACGTAGCGTTGTCCATAGTTCGTGGAGATCTCGTTTCCTGTATCCGCAGCTTTCTCACACCACTGGGTCAAGAGAATCTTGTTAACACTGCAACTCGTCGTGGTATCGTACCAGATTTTGTGTTCAAAAGTGAATTTCGTACCTATGAAACCCATAGCCAAGTTTCGTCGATAAATTCCGGCCATTGAATCATACGTACTTTACCCAAAGTCCGTAACAAGTGACACAATGGGTCTTTCGACTACTCTTCAAGAAATTACACAACAGGTGCTATTCACGGGATAATGAGAAATGTCCAAAAATTGTAATGCGAGGAACAGACTGTTATATATTTTGATAAAACTTTTGGACAAACTATCATTAATATTACGCATTACTTAAAGAAGCTGCGACCGTGGTGCAACTCAGTATCGACTTCTTCAATCCGTTTACTTCTGCATCTATCCATCTTTCATTCTTACCGTTTGATCCTATGCTGTTGAAAAGGACTCCGCTGTGCTGTGAGGGGCTTTGAAAGCTATCATTACAGTCAATGCCGCGTTTCTGGTCCGACCCATTGATAGTGTAATCAACAGATATTCGAATCCATGCGAAAAACTGTTACAGCCATGCCACTGGACACAGCATCTCTAGTATATGTTTCAAATTATTTCGTCGATACGTTTAACACCTCACAGCTTAACGGTTGTTTAGTGTTACTGATTCAGAATCTGTATCGGCTCGTTTGTAAACACAATATCCTGCTTCACACCTGATATTTACAATGTCTAGTGCTGGTGAATCAGCAGTGTCGGGGATAATCAGAAAAGGGGTGGCAAGTTGGGAAGCGTACATTATTTTGGGGTCAGATATCAGCGCTCGACACCTTCTCATTACAGTCGCTTCTTCTTTGGATCTTCTTAATGAAGGAAGGAGGCTCCTAAATAAAAGATGGTTTCAGTAAAGCTAAGCAGAATAGTTCTACTCTGTTTTACATTCCATGCATCTCATGTGATGTGAAGGAATATTAAATCATGGCTTACTCACCAACACTGCAACAGTAAAGGTTGAGCAGATCCAGCACTTTCGGCAGATGCGAAGCCTCAAGATTTTTTGGCCGATTCTAATGATGACCTCTTGCCATCAGTAGGTCATCTTCTTACATATTACTAAGCCATGTTGGGTGGTGTGTCTCGCGCTTGCAGCTTTTGTTAAGTTACAGATGTTTCTGGGGTTCACACTTGACTCCATTGTTATTCGGATGGGAACATGGTGAAAACATCACCCTGCCTATTGATCTTCAAGACTTCATGAACTATCAGAAATCATCAGCCAGCATGCCAGCCTGGATAGTCCCGTAAATGTAGGTATTTCACCAGTCTTCGGTCTTGTTATGCGGTCCAGGCTTTCCACGAACAGTAGTCAGGCAGGGGAAGAAATAAATATATCGGAGGCGTCCTCAGAAATTACGGGACTGTATGTGTAGACGAAACACATGTTGCGTCGTCAAGGAGAGTTAAATGAGTGGAAAAGAACCAAGACTGGAATACCACTATGTAATTCCCGCGTGTATGTCTGGTAACGAGAAATCTAAAAGTACTCACCTACATCTGGAGGGGTTATTAAATAATCCGTAACTGTTCGCTATTCCATATCTGAGCTAATCAGATGCCATTTGAGAATTGTAACCCAGTTTGAACATTGCTGATTCCTTTTTACCGGCAGAAAGACGATATGCAGCCGTCCATGTGATCACGAATATCTTATGAAAAGTGCTCTATACGGGAGACTACGTAAAAGGAATTCAAGTTGGTGCCGCCGATGATTACTGTTGGGCCGGAAGCAGGTCATGCTAAGCAGTACGTCAAGAAAATGTCAAGTGGCATAACTTATGATTATTCGAAGAATCTGAAGAAAATAGCTACGCAGAGTAATTTCTTCTTCAGTAGCCCTTATTTGGTGAGTTGTGCATCTCAGGCCGATGCTTTTGATAAATCAGGAATGCTGTCCAACTGGCTATTTAGCAAGAGGGCGAACGCCATTAATCGCCAAGAGTGATTCCCAATCAGCACCGAGCAAATCAATGTACATTACAGGTTTCTTGGAGCAATCTGTCTTGATTCAACTTACAGCACTAACAGGGCGGAGGTAGATCGGTCACTACTTCAGTAACTGCGAGCCTAATTATGGACCATTTCCCCTTGCGGTAGCAGTCAGCCACTGATGTTCAGATTGGTTAAACACTAACAACGTTATTATATCGAGTGAATGCTGGATAACCTGGTGCTCGTAATGGGCCGGGGTAGCTGAAGGCCAGTATTTGTGGTGGATTGCGCTATAGCATAAAGCCAGCGGCAGAAATTGCTTCGAACACCAACACTGTGCTGCCCACTATTCACGCTTGTAGAGATATGTGCTCAAAGACGGGCAAACAAAATCGGCTGTGAAATACAAGTTATGCGCGAACGTGCGGCTCAGTGATGAAGTGGTATCTTCATATACTGGTGCGGTGGGAATTCCTCTCCTTTCCTGTTCAGAAAGCGAAGTTCGTGCTGTTCACTTCAGAATCACGTACGCTTCACCAAATTCATACTTGTTGATAACAGTACACGTCCAAATTCTCTAAACATCCGTTTTCAGTGTATTAGTGGGTTGAGGTGATAGCAAACACGCCGCCTTCGTCATTCCTGCAGTCAAAACTTGATGTGCACAATCAGACTTTGCATCACATCCGCTGAATGGTTCGTAGTCCCTGGACCAA